ACCATCCACGCCCAGTGTTCCCTGCCGGACCTCAACCACGACCATCCGCGCCCAGTGTTCCCCGCCGGACCTCAACCACGACCATCCACGCTCAGTGTTCCCGGCCGGACCTCAACCACGACCATCCACGCCACAAACACACAACCACAAACACAACCACAACCACATAACCACACACACAACCACAAACACACAACCACAAATGCACAACCACAAACACACAACCACAAACACAACCACAAAAACACAACCACGACCACAACCACAAACACAACCACAAACACAGAGCCACAAACACACAATCACAAAGACACAACCACAACCACAACCAAAACCACACCTACAAACAAACAATCACAAAGACCCAACCACAACCACAACTACAAACACACAATCACAACCACTACCAGTACCACAAACACAATCACAAACACACAGCCACAAACACAACCACAAACACAATCACAAACACACAGCCACAAGCACAACCGCAAACACATCCACAAACACACAATCGCAAACACACAGCCACAAACACACAATCACAAACACAACCACAACCACAACACAGCACACAACCACAACCACAGCACATACAGTAACCCGAGGACCCGCAAGCAAAATCGAGAACTACAATACTCACGGCCATGGCAACATGCTCCTCACTATGGCATCAAGACAAATGATTGAAATGTCATGGTGGGGATCACTCGAAGTAAAGTATCCTTTTGGTTCAAATAGATCGAACAAACACACACATGTAAATATACATATATTGGAATCCACACGTGACTTGACGGGATCGCTCGTGTCTCACGAGGGAGCACTGGGTTCAAGTGAGATTCGGCAAACGATGAACTTTCACAAGCTTGGATAACTGGAGAACTGCATCATTTTGAAATTGAGATTGAATTTCTTGGACTCACTCTTCCATGCCATCGCGCCATGTCCATGCACGGTGCTTCCATGTGTTACTGTCTCAAGTAATCTGCTGCTGCGTACATCATTCAAGCTCTCTGCAGGCGGACGGCTTTGAGGGCGTAACAAAACGATGGGAAGCTTCGAGAGGCAAGCTTTGCCTCGTTGTCCTCTTTCCAAAGCTCCAGCCAATCTGAAGTGCGTGACAAAGTATGGCGGTTTGACAAAGCTCCACGCCACCTCACCCCATCCATGGCGTAGCATCAAGAGCGTCTGCAAGTACAAGTGACGTCAACACCAGTCCACCCCATTTGTCGCGTAGATGTCAGTTGAAAGCACTAACTGACAAATTGCATTTGGCCATCGGGTCGCTAACCCGGCCAAGAGCAAAAACAAGGGACGTGTCTGATACACTGCCCTGCAACTGTATGCTCGCTTTTTTGTTTGTCTGTTGGCTTTTGCTATTTATCATAGATTTGCTTTAGAAGTGCCTTTACCCGCATCAGATGTTCCGCGTTTTCCCAGGGAAGATGCTTGTGTCGAGCATTCGCTACAGCGAAAGGCTCATCTTTATTAGGAGTGTGAGAAAAAGGTTCGGACAAGTGTTCTTGAAGGTCTGATAAGTGAACTGCAGCCATCCAAAAGTTCAGCGAGTGTTCTTTCATGAGAATCGGTCTTATTTCGAACACTTTGCAACTTAACACACAAGTTTATTTCACATAAAATAACCTATATAAAAGTGTTCTTCCTTTGACTTGAAGGTCATGACCTGAATTCTTGATTGGTATTTAGAGTCGTTTTGGATCTTGCATAGAAGCAAATGTACTTGAAAGAACATGAAAATAAGTACGTGGCAATACGCAAAGGAAAACACAGTGAGGTACGTTTGACTGCATCCTTACATCGCTACAAGCACGTCATTACACCAACCGCCCACCCCCCACCCACCCTACTCCACCCACCCGACAACCGAACCACAACGTACGTGACAGGCGCAAGGGCGGCGTATCAGCCGCGAACCCCAAAAAACAACTGAGACCTTGGGCAATCCCGTCATGGTGTGACAAGGGTGACAAGGTTGGTCAGATTGGATGGAGATCGATGTCCACAAAAAAAATGCCTCTTTCATGATCCAGATGAGCCATTCTTAATCTGTTGGGTACTGGATTCCACCTTCAATCTAGTACGACCGACCTTTAGGCAGTTTGAGTGGAAATCTATGTCCTGAGTTCTTTGGAGCAACCCCTCCCATCGTTGGTTTATATGGTGCAAGTCTACAGTCTATCCTAATGTTTACGCAGGAGACATGTGCGGACGATTGGGAGGTGCCTTTTCCTAGATAGGGACACCGAGGGTAGGACCTTTCCATCCATCCAACGGAAGAGTCATGTTCAGGAGAATCCTCTCACATTCTTCCCTGAAGTTGCATTGTATTCCGCAGGGGCCTCTGTAGCTGGCGCTCCACGCTTCATGCAGTCAAGTCATCTCCCCCATCGTCCATGGAAGGATGTGAGTAAAGCGACTATCGATTGCTAGCGTTTTCCACTTAAACACCTGTCAAGTAAGCCTAGAGCAAATTATCTGCCGGCTGTTTTAGGTGAAAACATGGGGAAAGAGGGAGTCACGCGAAGTGATTCAAGGACTTTGACTCCTTTGGTCCCTCGGAATCGGACTGGCAAGGTGAAGCGGCCACAAAGGCACTCACCGTCCCTTGTTGTTCCTAGGCCAATTGACATGGTCCCACACTGAAACGCCCGACTCCGCGCTGGTGCTGATGTTGAAATGAACCAAACTGGCGAGCGAATGGACGAGTTCCTCAATCTTTCAACTATACCGTATGCCCTGTACCAGGCTCACACAATAGTTATGCCCATGGGTTTCGAAAAATGCGATTTGCACCATGGGATGAGAATGGATGATCAAAATTATTGTTAAAAATGCATGTGAAGTCATGTGAACCAAATCTATCCAAGTCTTGGACCTTGGGGGAAGCACCAAAGTCACACCCATGCCATGACCGTCCATGACCAACCACGAAAGCACCATGAAGCACCCGTGCTCCAGATTCGACCTTTTGCAAAAATATTGGAAAGCAAAAACCAACGGGGAATTAGAGGCTACAAAGGCTACAAACTCCACATTTCAACCGCCCAGTGCACCGTCCCCTTCGACGCCAAACGTGGTCACGTGGAGTCATCCAGTTGAGCGAAACTCGGATGGCTAGACCCACTCATGAACCAACGCAAGCACCAAGCATGTTGAAGACTTATATATCCACTCAGTTGGAAAGTCTATATTAATCCAAACTTGTGGATTCTGAGTTTAACTAAAAC